TTCTGATTTATGCACACATATATTGATACTTGGTTTCATTTGAACTCTTATTTTATATATATTATTACCTTACATATTCAGTACATTTTTTTCGTACTGACTTCCCTCGCGGGCGACGCTGCATTTCATGCTGCAGGCACATGTACTCCAGCTAGTTGACCTCCTCAATATGAGCATATGACACTCAGCTACTTTTGGTGAGCTCCAGGTTGTTTCGGAGCTTTATTGTGTCCTTGGTAGATTCATTTTGGTATTGTATCGTAGTTAAGGGTAAGGCGGGGTCTGTCCCGACCTACTCTAAGGATTACTATCTTTTAGAGGCTTTGTAGATTTATGTCTATGGTTTAGTTGCGTCTCAACAAGTTGTGGCCTCGACGGCCAAGTCTTGTATATAAGGTTTTAGGTCTACTTATGTCAGTTCGTATCGTTGCATCCTATGTGAACTTGTCACAAAATTGTCATAGTTACATGCATAGTAAGCACATGTTACATGTTGGTTCTCTCAGGCCTTTAGGGTATCGAGTGCTTGTCCGTCTTAATTGGATTTGAGGCGTGACATTATCCTTTTCTCTCATTTCTACAGGCATTGATTTGATCCAAGATGAGTACAGGACTTCCCATTGAGATTAAATCTTTCATGAAAAGTGAAAATTATACCTCATTCTGTAGGCTGGATATTGATAATTACAAGTATGAGATGACTTAGAAATAGAAAGCTATATTTAATAATGCATGGTAACACAGGATTATATTGTTTTGTTTTCCAAGGTATATTTCTGTATTACGCCTTCTTTTCAGGAATGTTCCTAACATTCATACATGAAAAACAGGAAAACGAAGACCGGTGGCATGGTGCTGAAATCCAGATTGTCGTTGAAAGGAACTGGACAACGTACCGAGTATGTAGTTCTTGAATAGTTGTGACAAAAATTCTCCTAAGTTGAATTCATCTCATTCATGCGTTGAAAGAAAACTTAGTCAAATTATTCACCTTCTATATTTCTGATTTCTTTCTGTGTTTACAGTCCAAAGTCAATGCATTATATGCGCGACAAATGGCTGTCATCACGCCCTATGCCCAATTCCTTTTCCAATTCATACCAGATTCTCCTGAGTGCTTTCTCTATCTCCCCTCCGCCCCTTCACCCCTCTCCCTTCTCTTCTCCCCTTTGTTTTAATTAATTTGTTTGTGCAAGCTACAAGCATGTCAACAATTTTGAGTTCGTAAAATATGTGCTGCATTCTTCGGTTTCACTCTAGTTTTTATTTGATTGTAGGAAAAATGTGCTTATAAGGTTCACCAGAAGAACATACATAATGCCTTCAGTTCCTCTTGAGACCAAGTACCATCCATCTGATGTGGACATACTTCTTATCAAACGGCTTATAACGGAAACATCAAAACACTCTTTTGCAGTTTTCCTTCAGCATGAATTTGTGGCAGTCTCATGCAGAACGTTTAATCGGTGAGAACTTGAAGCTGATTGCATTCATCTGTGTGAGATTCCTTGATAAAATAAAATTAGTTGGCTCTATGGCTTATTGACCTTTGAAATTAGTTTATCTATTATAGAGCTTGCATTCTATTCAGCCACTATTAGACGACAATTTGTTATAGTGGTTACTTACTGCTCAATGCTCACCAACTCAATGCAGTTGGAAAAGATAAATTGTCATAGTGATAGTAGAGTAGGTGGAGTTTTTTTTTCTGGAACTGGTTACTTGTAGAGTAGGTGGATGTTTTTAAGGTCACACATTGTTGCCATTAGCCAAAAAAAGAGAATCGACCACATTGAAGGGCATGTTGAAGGCATTAATCAACAATGATACACTAAATGCATTGTTAATCAAGATAGTCTTCAAATTTTCAGCTTGGGGAATGTCCTTACACTACTGTGAGAGAACTTGTTTAGAATGCACTTGATTCTGCTGAATCCATCTCTGAACTTCTAGTTGTAGAGATAACCATGTAAGTGATTTTTTTTACTATTTTAGATAACTACTTCAATGAGCTAACATAGATCCTATAATGGGAACCTCTCTTCATAGCTAGGTTAGTGTTGTTTTTTGTTTTGCTTCTGTAGTGAAGAGATTGGCAGAAGTAAATTTAATCCCATGATTGGTCTGGGTGACCATGAACGTAGAGATGAAGCCCTATATATTGGTTTTGAGACAGCAAAGGCTCGTGAGGTGTGCAAGCAGTGATTTACTCTCACTTAGATGGCATTGTCATTGATATTTTATGCTCACTGTTTGACATTAGCAAATTTCATTAGTCAAACATTTTTCTAGCAAATTTCATTTGATGGCATTGTGATTTTTCTAACTACTGTGTCTAGAAAAGACTTGCCAAGGAAGCTCGGGTTCTAGAGATTCAAGCAAAGAATGTTGCTCTTGGGAAGAATGTAAAAGACCCTGCAGCTACAAAGACAGCTAAGGGTAGGGAGGCATTATATTATAGGGTGACATGCAATGTATCATCTGTTTCTCTTTGTTCTTCTATATGCTGATTCTGCTCTAAGTATGCACGACAAGAAAAGTACATTGTTGAATTAAATCAATTTGGTTTAGTTAGTGGAAGATTATTCTTCCCTAAAAGACTTTTATTACTGTACTTTGTTTCTAGTATAGGAAGAGGAATGTCACATGATGATATCCCGAATATGTTTGTACGAGGTTTGATGTGCTTTCCATTTCCAGATATTTTACAAGTGGAAACTTTTGCATGTTCCTGCTTTTTGTTATGTTCCAACTTCTTTCATTTTTTCTTGACCTGCAATTAGGAGAAAGGTGTTTTTTAGACGCTTGATACATTCGTTTCAACTTTCATCTCTATTATTTTTAAATTATTATAAACTTTAAATATGGATCCCGTTAAAAAAAGTAGTGGTAAAAAATCAATTTATGGAAAAAATGGTGCTACTAGTAGGAGTGGGGGAGGACTTAGTTCTCATTGCAGCCTAGATTTAAAACTAATACCACCGATTATACTCATGTTGATGAAAGTTTTTTTTATATCATGTCCCACTATTTTAGAATTTAATTCTTAATATTAAGTAGACTATGAGACCTTAAATAGATGGTTTGCTAATTTTGAGGAAGAGTTGGAGGAAGTAGTAGAAATAGAAAACCAAGACTTAGATAACACCCCTATTAGTCTGGCCACAAAATTACCACAATAAAATGATCTCCCTCTATAACCACTGTTTGGCTTTACTGAAAACTTTTTTGACCTCTAGGGGAGAGCAGTCAGTGATATAATTCTCGCTATGAATTATGGATAAAATGGGGAAATTAAAGAGAAGAAATAAAGATAGATAGATAGATAGACACAAAAACAAGAAATAAGAAGCAAGCAAAAGGTATATTAAACCTTAAGACCTTAATCTCTTAATCCTACAAGAAGCACCTAACTCTTACGAAGACCTCGAGGGAATTGAATTCACCTCGCAACCCGCATTTCTAAGCAATAGTCAACCCAAGCTTGTACCAAGCTCTCAACACTCATACAATAATTTCAAAATATAAATATTCAAAATAGTCTACCTAAAAGAGAACCCAAACTAGCTATTTAAAGTTTTAGGCATTTATTACGTAAGAGGCCCAAAAAGGATAAAGGGTGAGAGCTGGGTCGTGCTTGCCTAAGGGACTCGGCGAGTCACCAATTGGTTCGGTGATATGACCCCTCCCTTGAAGCCTTCTGGAACATTTGGCGAGCTTGGGTCCTCGTCCAAGCCATTGGGCGAGTCACCGAATGGCTCCTGACCTCGCAACCCGCATTTCTAAGCCATAGTCAACCCAAGCTTGTACCAAGCTCTCAACACTCATACAATAATTTCAAAATATCAATATTCAAAATAGTCTACCTAAAAAAAATCCAAACTAGCTATTTAAAATTTCAGGCATTTATGTTATTACATAAGAGGCCCAAAAAGGATAAAGGGCGAGAGCTGGGTTGTGCTCGCCTAAGGGACTCGGCGAGTCGCCAATTGGTTCGGTGAGATGACCCCTCCCTTGAAGCCTTATGGAACATTTGGCGAGCTTGGGTCCTCGCCCAAGCCATTGGGCGAGTCACCGAATGGCTCTTGCTCGCCTAAAGTCGCAGTTTCGTCAACTATATTCCCTCACTTCCTCAAGCGATCTTCAAGGACCCCTTCCTTGCCTCAAGTACAACTTAGCAAGTAACTCTAGGCTATCCTTTCCGGCACATACTTGACTCTCATAAGGGCTTTCAATTTGGTCCATGTTGGATGGTGTCCATCTTGAAGTACTAGAATGATACCTTTTCATGTATTCCCACCATGTAATAGCAAACCCTTCAAATTGAGCAATGGCAAAGCAACTCTTCTTGACCTCGGTCAAATCATTGACCTGGAAGATTCTTTCACAAAGCGACTCCCATTCGAGATAAGCATCGGGATTGCATTCCCCCTTGAATGGTGGGAGATTAGTCTTAATAGAGTTGATTCCAACATCTCGGCCAACATTTCCACCTTGGTCCCCATAATAGTTTCCTCGGCCCTCACCCAATTGGTTGTTGTTGTAGTAACCTCTTTGGGCTTCTCCTTGATGAGGTAGGTTTGGCGGGACACATGAAAGAAGACAATATGGGAACCAACCTCAATGTGGAGAACCAAGGGAAGCCTATGCCAATCAAGAGTATGGTCAAGAATTGGTTGAGTATGTGGCATTTGGTAGGGTGGATTTTGGTTTAGGGGTGCTGGGTAAGGTCGGTTTTGGTTTGGTGGAGATTATTGATTGAGTTGGGACTGGAATGGTCGATTGGTATTTTGGACATTGGAACTGAAACGGATTGGTATGTTGGGTTGAACGCTTGATGGAAGGCTCCGGGTGTGATAGTAGGAGAAATAGTGTGGTCGTGACCACTTGTGGCAGGAAAAGTAGCTTGTGGGGTGGAATTAGTAGTGTTAATTTGACCCTCCACATTGTTCATTCTATAATCCATCTTCGACACACTACCCTTCGTGGTGGCCATTTGGCCTTCCATGTTCTCCATCCTCCAACCCATATTAGTAATTGCCTCCATTATAGATTCCAACTAACCCCTCCCATAGGTGGTTGGGTTTCACTTCCGGTTTCCATAAGACAACTCAACAAAAACAATAAACAATGCTAGCGTTAGTAAAATGAACTCACAATCACTCGTAAACATATACCTTTGATTGCCTCTCAAATTGACTCGGCTAAGGTTGAAGATTGCTTATACTCGGTTCATTAGAACCTGAGATTAGGGCCATAAAATGAGTTTTCGATCGCCGAATGCACTGTTTTCTTCACCAAGTTGAAGTTCAACTCGCCAACTTGAAGTTTAGCTCGCCAAAATTTACAGAATGTTAAGGTAATTCGGTGATCTGAGGGTCAATTCGGCAATTCGACCTTTGGACTTTGGTGAGCAAAGTCAGGATCGCCGAAAGTTCCAGTGAGTGCACCTGAAGACCATTGAAAATAGTTTATCTATTGCTTGCATTCTATTCAGCCACTATTAGACGACAGTTTGTTATAGTAGTTACTTACTGCTCAGTGCTCGCCAGCTCAATGCAGTTGGAAAACATATAAAATTGTCCTCAAGGTCACACCCCAATTCAAGGTTCAAAAGCTCCAAAACACTAAAACTCTCATAAAAACTAAATGAACGACCAGGTGACCGAACTATCAGTCCCAACAAGTCATAAGTTAAGGACCAATGTTTTGGACGGCGAGAGGCGACAAAAGGCGGCAAGGGCCTGCCTCACCATGCGGCGAGGCGCTCGCCTTTTTGAATCGAAGTGCCAATTAATACCAAAAATTTAAAATATTTAATTGCATATATAAATATCCAAAATCTCAATAACAATAAGTCAATAACATATATTAGCAAATATTTCAATTCAAAAACTAAAAGTAGATACTAAAAGTCTAGAACTTTAAAGACCCAATAATTCAAAAGACAATACTAGAACTCTAAAAGTCTATTCTTCTTCAAAACTATCCAACACTTGAAGATCAACATCCTCTACATCATTATATTGCTCCTCATCTTCTTCCTCCTCGTAGTCTTCATCAATTAGTGTCCGAGTCCTACTTGAAGTTGAACTTGTAGATGTAGTTTCTACTCTTTTGCCCTTTGTCAAGTGCACTTGATCTTGAAGAAAGTCCCCTAAGAGGATAGATACTCTCATCAGCTCCAATTGACGTAGCAACATTACCCCAAGTAAGATCATCATCCTCATATACTAGTTCATCTTCATCATAACGACGTTTCAATGTTCTATTGTATTTAATGTACACTAGATCATTGAGATGCGATAGTGCAAGCCTATTCCTATTTTTGGAATGAATCTGCGCATAAGTTATAGATATTAACTAATAGATATTGATAATAATATAATATGGAAATTAGGATATAATTTTTTTACTTACGTGTTCAAACACATTCCAATTTCGCTCACATCCGGATGAGCAACAAGTTAGGCTTAATACTTTCATGGCAAACTTTTGCAAGTTTGGTGTTTTCACTACCAAATAGTGACCACCATTCCACTATAATAAAATAAATTTAAAGGTTAATGAGTATATAAATAAGTCAAATAATTTAAGTAAGAGCTAAATCAACTCACTTACCCGGTGACCTTGTGTCTCTAGCTCTTTTAGCCGGACCACAACCAAATAGTCCATCCGCCATTTTGTACCTAGGAAGCTCAGCGACTAGTAAATCTTGTATTGCTGTATCGGGGATCATCTTCTCAACACATGCATAATACTCGGTCCACAGGCTCTGTAGTAAAGTTACCTCTTCTTGAGCTTTTATAATACAATCCTGGGTTCAAAATATAGACTGCAGCATGCAAAGGCCGATGGAGTTGGTCTGACCACCTTGCATCAATAATTTCAAAACACTTTCTCATATTGCTTCTTAACTCCACGAAAACCCCATGCAATAGTTTCTTTGGCTCTATTATCCATTGCTTCATAAATATAGCCCATTGGTGGTTTTTCCTCCCCATCCATCAAACAAAGCACTTTTGTCAAAGGGCCACAAACTGTAAGTGCTCGAACAACATCATCCCAAAAGTGGGCAGAAATAATAAGATTGGCAACTTCTTTCCCCAAAGTTTCCTTTGCAAATTTACTTGAAGTCCATTCGGTTGAGAGGACTAAAGTTCTCAAGTTTTTTCTTTGTATGTACATAGCTCTCAAAGTTAAGAAGGCCATTGCAAATCTTGTCTTGGCAGGTTTCACCAAATTTCTTTCCTTGGTGAATTTTCTCATCAAGTTTAACAACAATGGCCTTTGACTAATGTAAGAATGGATTCTGATGGCCTTCTTAAAAACTGTTAAAGTAAGATTATAGTAATTAGTAGCTAATAAGTATTAAATATTGACTATAAAGAAAGTTAGAGGATAGGAGAGTGATATTACCGGAAGCATATGGCTTAACCTTGAATATGCCACCAAACATCAAGTTGATGCAATGAGCAGCACATGGAGTCCAATAAATGTGTGGATACGCACCCATCATCATGCTTCCCTCTTTAACATTCTCACTAGCATTATCGGTGACAATTTGTACAACATTTTCCGATCCAATTCTTTCAATAGTGCTTTCAAACAACTTGTACATTTTGGTGGAATCGGTAGATTCATTGCTAGCATCAATAGAACCAAGAAATACACTACCGATTGGAGAATTCACCAAAATATTGATGATCATTTTACCATTTCTGCCGTCCATTTGTCCATCATAATGGAACATCCAAACTTTGTCCATTGCACTTTATGCTCATCAACAATTTTTTCCACTTTCTCCACCTCTTTGTTTAGGTGAGTAACTCTAACTTCATGGAATGTAGGAGGCTTCAATCCGGGGCCATGTTGACCTACTGTCTCAAAAAATTTATCAAATGATTTGTGATTGACACAATTAAAAGGGAGCCCCGCATCATACATCCATATTGCAAAAGCACTTACCGCACACTCTCTTAGAATTAAGGACTGAATGTTCAAAACTAAAGGTCGCTCCACCGTAGATAGGAAGGCTAGACTTCCCATACTCACTGTCTTCCGACTCAAGGCGTTCGCTACTACATTCGCCTTTCTCGGATGGTAGAGAATAAAGAGGTCATAGTCCTTTAGAAGCTCAATCCAGCGAAGCTGCCTCGAATTAAGATCCCTTTGGCTCATTATATATTGAAGACTTCTTTTATCAGTGTAAATTTCACAACGAACTCCATGCAGGTAGTGCCTCTAGACCTTAAGCGCGAAAACTACCGCCGCCAAATCCAAGTCATTAGTGGGGTAGTTGTGCTCATGTAACCCTTGCCTCGACGCATAAGCAATGACCCGGCCTTGCTGTATCAAAACATAACCCAAACCAACAAGAGATGCGTCACAATAGCCCTCGCCTTCAACTGGAAGAGTCAATACAGGTGAGTGAAGTAGTCAGCAACTCCTTGAGCTTCCGAAAGCTCAACTCACACTCCTCAGACTACTCAAAAGGAACATCAAGGCGAGTCAACCGGGTCAAAGGTGTAGCAATGGTGGAGAAAGAAGCCCTCCACAAACCGTCTGTAGTAGCCTGCCAAACTGACGAGCTCCGAACCTCAGTAACTAAAGTGTGCCTAGCCCAATCACGAATAGCCTTAATCTTTGTCGGATCTACCATGATGCCATCCTTGGACACCACATGCCCCAAGAATGCTACAGACTCGAGCCAAAATTCGCACTTTGAGAACTTGGCATAAAGTCGTTGATCTCTCAAGTCTGGAGCACAATCTTCAGATGCTGCTCATGATCATTCCTGCTTCGTGAGTATACCAGAATTTCATCTATGAACACAATGATGAAAAAAATCAAGATAAGGTCTGAACACCCGCATCATAGTGGCCATATCACTAGGAACTCATAGTGGCCTTATCTAGTCCTAAATGTTGCGGTCTTAGGGATGTTCTTAATCCTCAGTTGATGGTAACCAGACCTCAAATCAATCTTCGAAAACACTGTGGCACCCTAAAGGTCAAATAGATCATCAATCCTAGGTATGGGGTACCGGTTCTTCATCATCACCTTATTCGACTGCCTATAATCAATACACATGCGCACCGTGCCATCCTTCTTCTTCAAAAACAGAACAGGAGTGCCCCAAGGCGACACACTAGGCCTGATGAACCCCTGACCCAAGAGGTCTTGAAGCTGAACACTGAGCTCCTTGAGCTCTATAGGAACCTTCCGATATGGTGGAATGGAAATAGGTCGAGTACCCGGCTCAAGCTCGATAGTAAAGTCAATATCAGGTTCCAGGGGTAGGCCAAGTAAGTCGGTAGGGAACATATCTATAAAATCTCAGACAACATGCCTGGACTCAAATTAAGAGACCTCCCTACTCACATCCCGCACATATACCAAATAGGACAGACGTCCGCTAGCCTCTAGCCTCCGAGCCTGAATAAAAGACATAAGTCCAATCGGTGTGCTACTAATGGAGCCCTGCCACACCACCGGAGGAATACCATGCATGGCTAAGGTAACGGTCTTAGAAAAACAATCTAAAACTGTGTGATATGGAGATAACCAGTCCATGCCCAGAATCACATCAAAATCAAGTCTAACAAGATAAGGTCAGCCCGGGTGTAACGCCCCCGAATAGTAACTAAGCATGATCGAAACAATCCACTACTAAAGACTCACCCATGGGGTCGACACACATAACGGCATAGCCATAGGCTTAGAACTCTTACCCATACAAGAAGCATAATGCCTACACATAAGAATAAGTTGAACTAGGGTCAAATAAAGTTGAGGTAGGCTGATTGCAGAATAGAATCGTACCTATCATCACATCGTTAGATGAATTAGCCGCCGCCCTTGCTGGAGCTGCATAGAAATGACCATGTCTGCCTCTGCCCTAGCCATTAGTCCTATTGCCTGACCTACCTTCTCGGTGACCACCCCAAATACCCTGATAACCACGGCGACGCCGAACCCTAACCTCGACCCCTAGCTGGAGGTGCTACTGGTAGAGCTGTCTGTAGAGCAGGAGCAATCCGCCTACGCATATGACAATCTCTGGACCAGTAACCCAACTCACCACAATCAAAGCAACTCGACGATTATCTGCCCCAGAAGAACGACCACCACGGCCTGAAGCGCAAGAGTGGAACACATGGTTATGACTTGAGCCAACCTCACTAGGACTCGGTCCCTCACTTAAGCCTCCAACGAGGCCTGCACTGGCGCTGTTGCTATCGCTGCATGGGCCCTTAATAAGAGCCCGTCTGCTCGGAACGGGACCTGTTGTAGCTACCCTCATATCTGGCTCTCTTGTCGCTGCACCCTTGGGCCTCACGACGGAGCTCCTCAATAGTGCGGGCGTGATCAAAAACATCCAGAAAAGAATGACCCGTGGAGACCACGGACTTTGTCTCAATCTGAAGTTGAAGCCTCAACCCATTAACAAAACACCAAACTCTCTCTTCCTTAGTAGGTAGAATCATGGTGGCATGACAAGAGAGCTCATGAAACCTCGCCTCATACTCTGACACCGTCATGGAAAAGGGTGGGAAACCTGGAGGCATAATGTATCCTTAGTTAAATGAATGATCAGAAAGTCAAGCTAACAGTTAAAAGCCTCACATTAATCCAACATCACGTTTTAATTTTTTGTTTGTTTGGCATTTAGTGTTTCAAGTTTTGCACGTGTACATGACTATGGAACTTGAAGATGGTTGTATCATGAAGGTTCCTTGAGAACAAGATTAGAAAATCATTTTTTAGTGGAAGTGTAAAACTGAATTAGAAAAGCATTCAATAGGAGTATGCATCTATTATGTAGCATATGCAACCATTTGAACTAACAGTTTGCTTTGCCTCGAGGTTGATTTCACGGGTTGCTTCTGGGGTTATTTTTATCCTATAATCACTTGATTATCGAGCAGAGGGTCTATCAAAAACAACTTCTCTACCCCAAGACATGCGTACAATTTGCTTACACCATTCCCTTTTCAAACCTCACTTTTTGGGATTACATTGACATATTGTTGTTGTAGTGTAAGTGCTCCTCATTTTGCGAATTGAATTGGTAGATTTATGATAGTTACAATTGTGGGTGTTCTTTGTTGAATGATTTTTGATTACCAGTGGAAAAAATTACTTGTTTAAAAATATCCTCCATACTTGAATTCTATGATTGTTTTTAGAGTTTGGTTCGTAAAATTCCGGCACATCACAGTGTTCTAACTAAATAATTTATATATTTTGTCGGAGAATGCACAAAAAATTGCTGAATACTTATCTTCCCATCCACGAGTGAAGAAGGTTGATTATGTAGGTATTTTTGACCATCCAGGGAGGTCTTTGCACTTCTCTCAAGTATGGTTGTCGGTATCCTGCCACCATGAAGCTCTCCATTGAAACTTATTGTTTAAATGTTGATCAATTTGCAGGCTATGGGTGCAGGATCGATGCTGAGTTTTCTGACTAGTTCTTTAGCACTCTTTAAGCATGGTGCTGAGGCTACCAAGTACGCATTTAAGTCAGTTTTGGTTAGTTTCATCTTATGCTCAATTACAATTTTCTAAGATCGTATTTTCCTATCAAACTACTTCCTAGTGATATTTGCCTTCTCAATTTTCCCCCCATTGATTATAGTAAACGTGCAAATATTCTTCTGCTTTGGTAGTCCTTCATATTCTCTTTTGATATTTGGACTGTGAGGACACAGTCACATTTTTAGTTGGGGGTGGCTCCCTTGTATTCATTTTGTTGATTGTTTCTGCATATTGTGATTGTGATCTTGTCGGGTGTACTTTTCTTTCATTGGTGTGCCCTTGTCGGGCTTTGATATTGTGGATGTTTCTGTTGATATTATGTTGGATTGGTGTATTTTAGTTTTTGAGTTATAGCTTGTAGCTTCTTTGTTTTTTTTATTATAAGATTTGAATTGACGAATCCCGATGGTACATAGAGAGTTATGACTTTCTAAAGGTTAGATCGTCGATTGCATGTGAGTGTTTGATTGGCATTGATAGTTGCGAAGTCTGAGTAGCCGTTCCCGAAAAGATGCATGAGGTTGCCTGAATATGGATTGGTTGACGTCTTTCTTAAGGGCGTAATCATCGTCTTTTTGGGAACGTAGAGATGAAGCCCTATATGATGATTTTGAGACAGCAAAGGCTCGTGAGGTGTGTAAGCAGTGATTTACTCTCACTTAGATGGCATTGTGATTTATATCGTATGCTCACTGTTTGACATTTAGCAAATTTCGTTAGTAAAATATTTTTCTAGCAAATTTCATTAGATGGCATTGTGATTTTTCTAACTACTGTGTCTAGAAAAGACTTGCCAAGGAAGCTCGGGTTCTAGAGATTCAAGCAAAGAATGTTGCTCTTGGGAAGAAAGGAAAAGATCCTGCAGCTACAAAGGCAGCTAAGGGCATGGAGGCTTCATATTATAGGGTGACATGCAAGGTATGATCTGTTTCTCTTTGTTCTTCTATATGTTGACTCTGCTCTCAGCATGCAAGACAAGAAAAGTACATTGTTGAATTAAATCAATTTGGCAAGTTAGTGGAAAATTATTCTTCCCTAAAAGGTTTTAATTACTGTACTTTGTTTCTAATATAGAATAATGGAAGAGGAATGCCACATGATGATATCTCGAATATGTTTGGACGAGATTTTATGTGCTTGCCATTTCCAGTTATTTTACCAGTGGAAACTTTTGCATATTCCCTCTTTTTGTTAAGTTCCAACTTCTTTCATTTTTACTTGACCTTCAATAAGGAGGAACAAATGTATTTTAGACTGGCTCCTCTTCTTTAGTTATTAGGATATATTTTCCTAAGATTATTGTAACACATGATCCTTTTTCTAAGAAAGTGTCTTCTGCAGTTTTGTCTTGAACAAAGTATGCATTGACACAGACACATGGGAAATTTGGTCTTTGTGCAAAGATATGGTACATTGAGCAATTGGTAGACCTGATCATCTGACGTTCTTCTGATTCTTCATTTTTGTGTATTAGTTATTTGTGTTATATTCCCTGTCTTGTTTCTGTTCATTATAGGAGGTGGTTGCGAGGGTGGTGGATTATGTCTTCGGAATAAGAGAATATTTTTGTACTGTTAGAATGCTTCTTCCAGTGATTTTTGCCTTTTGCCTGTAGTTCTTCTTTCCATTTACTTGTGCTCATTCAAACCTCATTTCTACAGGCATTGATTTGGTCCAAGATGAGTACAGGAAAATTATACCTCATTCTGTAGGCTGCATCACAAGTATGAGATCACTTAGAAATAGAAAGCTATATTTAAGAATGCATGGTAACACAGGATTATATTGATTTTGTTTTTCAAGGTATATTTCTGTATTACGCCTTCTTTTCAGAAATGTTCCTCACATTACATGAAAAACGGAAATACAAAGACCGGTGGCATGGTGCTGAAATCTAGATTGTCATTGAAAGAACTGGACAACGTACCGAGTATGTAGTTCTTGAATAATTGTGACAGAAGTTCTCCTAAGTTTCACCTCATTCATGCATTGAAAGCAAACTTAGTCAAATAATTCAACTTTTATATTTCTGAAAACTGATCTTTTCTTTCAGTGTTTACAGTCCAAAGTATTGCATTATATGCAACAAATGGTTGTCATCACGCCCTATGCCCAATTCCTTTTCCAATTCATATCAGATTCTCCTGAGTACTTTCTCTATCTCCCCTCCGCCCCTTCACCCCTCTCCCTTCTCTTCCCCCCTTTGTTTTAGTTAATTTTTTTGTGCAAGCTACAAGCACGTCCACAATTTTGAGTTCGTAAAATATGTGCTGCATTCATCGGTTTCACTCTAGTTTTGAATTGATTGTAGGGAAAATGTGATTATAAGGTTCACCAGAAGAACAAACATAATGCCTTCAGTTCCTCTTGAGGCAAAGTAAGTACCATCCATCTGCTGTGGACATACTTCTTATCAAATGGCTATAACGGAAACATCAAAACAGACTCTTTTGCAGTTCCTTCAGCATGAATTTGTAAACATTGGGAAGTCTCATCTGAATGTTTAATCGATGAGAACTTGAAACTGATTGCATTCATCTGTGTGAGATTCCTTGGTAAAATAAAATTAGTTGGCTCTATGGCTTATTTATTGACCATTGAAAATAGTTTATCTATTGCTTGCATTCTATTCAGCTACAATTAGACGACAGTCTGTTATAGTGGTTACTTATTGCTCAGTGCTCACCAACTCAATGCAGTTGGAAAAAGATATAAAATTGTCCTTTAGGTCACACCCCAATTTAGGGGTACATAATACTGAACAAAGCACAATGACATTCTACCCATTCATGAACATTACAATATAATATTTCATAAAATGTTTGATCATCATTCAATTAAATATATGAAGTCTTGGAAGTATCAAAACAGTGTGCGGAATCAAAGTAAATAATACATATCACTATCATGTCTTATGCACGTAGCTAGACCTCATAGTACATGCCATACGACCTCTAAAGTTGTAGTTAAGCAAATTGAAACAAGGATAACTAAGGCAAGCAAGGGGTCCAAATATTATCGGTCCAAATCAGTTCCGGTAGACCCGTTACACTTAGTATTGATTAGGGTCTGGTTTGTGGGGAGGGGGGGTTACCAGAATGGGTCCTAGGCATTTTCTCGATTGACCCGCACCGTCGCAACAATTAGAATTTTTTAGTTTTAAAAAAATAGATTAAAACAATCATGTAAACGTTGGCTCATATGTATACTCTCAATCTCTCTTCTCAATTCTAAATTATATTTTTGTGCTATTGGCTAATTGGAGTTAGAAGATTTATTTAAAGCAATTTGCAAGCTTCAATTAATATCCCTCAATTATGGCTTTTGGTTATATATATGTGTGTATGCTTTTACTTACACGTTTGATACATTCGTTTTAACTTTCATTTCTTTATTTGTTTATTTATTATATTTTTTTGTTATATTTATCTTGTTGGTTTTCTTATATTTTAATTATTTTAAACTTTAACTATGGATCCCGTTAAAAAAGTAGTGGTAAAAAATCAATTTATGGAAAAAAAAAGAAGGTGCCTACTAGTAGGGGTGGGGGTGGAAGTAGTTCTCATTGCAGCCTAGATTTAAAAATTAATATCGACGATTATACTCATGTTGATGAAACTTTTTTTATTTCACGTCCCACTATTTTAGAATTTAATTCTGAATATGAAGTAGACCATGAGACCTTAAATAAATGGTTTGCTAATTTTGAGGAAGAGTTGGAGGAAGAAGTAGAAATAGAAAACCAAGACTTAGATGACACCCCTACTAGTCTGGCCACAAAATTACCGCAATAAAATGATCTCCCCCGTGTTCGGCTTTACTAAAAACTCTTTGACCTCTAGAGGAGAACAGTTAGTGCGGCCATATACGTGTTAATTTCCTATATTAAGAAGTTGGGTATAAACCTATGGTGACTTTGGGCCTTTAGTATTGTGGAGGTTATTTATGCACCTTCATGTTGTTGATTATAGTCCGTTTGTGGTGTTTCGTGTGCATAAATTTTGTTGGTTTTATTTCTTTTGTGGCAGTGCTATGCAATTTTTATTATTGTTGAGAGATTTGTTGTTTTTCGTGTGATTTATTATCAAGGGAAATGTATTTAAGGGCCTAATTAATAGCCCTTGCAACATCTTTGTTGTGGCAATAACATGAAACAAAAGAGTAGTGTCGAGTTATTTTTTGTTGCCCTTAAGCATTTGTCATTTTGTGTATGATTGATCTACTGCAACTCCTTATAGACATTTTATCCCTAGAAGGAATCCTATCAAAAATAATATAGCGAGGGTGATGTACTAGTATAAATGCAATAAGTAAATGTATCGCATACTATAGTCTTACAGTGATAGGGAATTGGATTTAGAAATTAGCCTAAGGGAAAAGGGTGGTAGAGGCATATTGTGTCCTTAATTAAATGATTAGAAAGTCAAGCTAATAGTTAAAAGCCTCACATTAATCCTGCATCGCGTTTTATTTTTCTGTTTGTTTGGCATTTAGTGTGTCAAGTTTTGCACGTGTACAGGACTGTGGAACTCGAAGATGGTGGTATCATGAAGGTTCGTTGAGAACATGATTAGAAAATAACTTTTTAAGAGGAAGTGTAAAACTAAATTAGAAAAGCATTTAATAAGGGTATTTTGAACTAACAGTTCACTTTGCCTCGAGGCTGATTTCGCGGGTTGCTTCTGGGGTTATTTTTATCCTATAATCACTTGATTATCGAGCAGTGGGTCTATCAAAAACAACTTCTCTACCCTAAGATATGCACCGTTCCTTTTTCAAACCTCAATATTTGGGATTACATTGACTATGTTGTTGTTGTGGTTAGTGTAAGTGCTCCTCATTTTGCGAATTGATGAAAAAGGTCAATGATGCAGGTTTTTCTAACCATCCAGGGAGGTCTTTGCACTTCTCTCAGGTATTCAAACAAGTGACTTTTTTGGGAATTTGAACACATGGTCTATGGTTGTCAGTATCCCGCCACCATGAAGCTCTCCATTGAAACTTATTGTTTAAATGTTGATCAATTTGCTGGCTATGGGTGTAGGATCGATGCTGAGTTTTCTGACTGGTTCATTAGCACTCTTTAAGCATGTTGTTGAGGCTACCAAGTACTAAAGCATTAAAGTTAGTTTTGGTTAGTTAAATCTTTTGCTCAATTACAATTTTCTAAGATCATATTGTCCTATCAAACTACTCCCTAATGACATTTGCCTTCTCAATCTTTTCCCCGTTGATATAGTAAACGTGAAAATATTATTTTGCTTTGTTCTCGTATTCTCTTTTGATATTTGGATTGTGAGGACACAATCACATTTTTAGTTGGGGGTGCCTCCCTTGTACTCATTTTGTTGATTGTTTCTGCATAATGTGATTGTGCTCGTAATGGATTGGTGTGCTCTTGTCGGGCTTTGATATTTTGGATGTTTCTATTGATATTGTGTTGGATTGGTGTATTTTAGTTTTTGAGTTGTAGTTTGTAGCTTCTTTGTTTTATTTTATTGTAAGATTTGGAATGACGATGCCCGATGATATATAGAGAGTGACGACTTTCTAAAGTTTAAATCACCAATTGCTTAAGGGTGAAATCATCGTCTATTTGGGAACATTTTGACTTGGTTGGTACTTAGAGCATATTCGTGCATGTGAATAGTATCATGAGCATACCTCTCCGTTTTTAAAAGGTTGAGCATTTTATGAATGATTTTATGACAACTCTTACAACTCTTTTTGTGACTTTTGATTCGTTAGCGGTTAAAATGTTCAATACTACTTGTATTTTGAAAAGGAAGTAATTAGGATATTGAACCATCTTGATTGATTTGCAAGCCATGTGTGGTGAGTTGTTGAATTAGCCTTGTGTTCGCTTTTGTCACCTAGAGCTTGCCCGGCTGGTCTTGATCTAGTTTGGTTGGAGAAATGATCTTAG